TGTGCAATTGCCAGAAAGACAGAGACAGAGAGGCAGAAAGTGAGAAATCACCCTCTGGGGAGATGGCTGTGCCACAATCCCATCTCCTCTATTCTCTTCTCAGGATCTTGGGCATGCACGCACACACGCCTGGCATTGAACTGGTAGATTCTAAAGTTCATTTTATTTCACTTGATTATTCTTCCTTGTCCTTTTTCAGAGTTCCCAGTTTTACAGAAATTACACCCAATGACCCACTTGCACATAATTAACGTATATGCCACAATTTAGTGCAACCAAATTTCAAAGCTAATATAACCAACCTAAATGAGGATCACAAAGGCAGTTAAAGAGGCTTTCTCATCTAGTCGCACCCAATTTGGGACTCAATGACTTGTCAGAAAGGGTTAGTTAAGTGCAGATGGCACGTGTGCCCAAAATCTTGACAAGATGGAGAACTGGAAGAAAAGAGATTGTGGCATGACCAGGTCTGATGGGGGATTATCTCTTGGACACATGCACACTAAGAGGGGAAAGAAAAATGAACAAAGAAAAAGAAGAGGAAAAAGAAAAGGGCTAAGTGATAAACAGGCACCATAGCCAAGAACCCAACGCCTGGTAGAATGGTTAAAATCCTGAGGTCCCGGCTCTCACATCCGACTTCTTCACAACTTGTAGCCAAGGTCAAGGACATCTGGGGTGGGTGGCTGCACTCTTCCAAGTAAAATCTGAGATCAATGTCTCACTCGCCAGTCTGCATCATCCAGCTATATCCAAGCACCTGCTGCTTTTAGGCTGGAACATCTTCGAGCTGACTCCTGGGAGGTTCAGGGCCAAATTTGTAGCTCACTTGTAACTAGCATCTTGTATAAAAAGTTCACTCTCAGTTGATTATTCTCTTTTGCATTTCCCCTTACTCTGATCTTATTCTACATAAATGTATCATCACGTCATATTGTACTCATCTTTCAAAGCCTTTTTTTTTTTTTTTAGAGGTTTTTGCTAAAGGGCACGTGCGCTCGCCAGACAGAGAGAGACATAGAGACAGAAAGCGAGAAATCACCCCCCCGGGGGGATGGTCACGCTGCAATCCCTTCTCCTCCATTCTCCTCTCAGGATCTTGGGCACGCACGCACATGCGCCCAGCGTGAGTTTTTAAGCCACCGGGTCCGGGACTCGAACCACGGTCGACTATGTGGGAGTCCAAGACATAGCCATTACGCTAACTGCTGGTTCCCTCAAAGCCTTCTTAAAAACTTGCTGAGACAGGGGACCAGCAGTTAGCGTAATGGCTATGTCGCTGGACTCCCACGTGGTCGACCATGGTTTGCGTCCTGAACCCGGTAGCTTAAAAAACTCATGCCGGGTGCATGTGTGTGCGTGCCCAAGATCCCGAGAGGAGAGTGGAGGAGAAGGGATTGCAGCGTGACCATCCCCTCTGGGGGGTGATTTGGCGAGCGCACGTGCCCTATAGCGAAAATCTCTCAGAAAAACCACCTCACACAGGGCACGTGTGCGTGCGTGCTGAAGATCCCAAGAGGAGAATGGAGGAGAAGGGATTGTGGCGTGGCCATCCCTCCTGGGGGATGATTTCTTGCTTTCTATCTCTCTGGCGAGGACATGCACCCTATGGCAAAAACCTCTCCAAAGAAATAAAAGAAAAATTTTAAAAAAAAAAGAAAAAGAAAAGAAAAAAAGAAAAAACTTGCTGAGACAAGGCAATGCGTAAACTTTAGAGAAGTTACATTCGGCTACTACAGTGAGTCATGCTTACTTATATATTACAGGCTGATTCAGGTCAAAGATGCTGGATTTGAAAAATGGTGACATCTGTCAGCAAGTTCATCTCTATAAAGCAATATTTGACCTAGAGGAATCTGAATTTCAGGAGTTAAAAGTAAATGAAAGATGGATTCAAATGGTCCCAAATCAAAGTTTTCCTGAAGCTTCTAAATTTCCAAAAAGGTTCACTAAAACATAACAACCACAAAGTCTGACTGGAAAGGCGAGGGGTCATGATATATTACAGAATACGGGATAACCAGAGGTGGAACCTTTATTTCACAAGTTTCAAGATACAGTACAAAACGAATCTGTACATCTCTCTATTAACAAGATTTGTTTGTTTACACAATTATATTACACTTCACCAGCCTTTATACTGCATTTCATTAAATACAAAATAAATTTACAAAAAAAGTCTTCCATGGTGTTCCTTCAAAATGCCATCTTATGGTCTTTTCAAACTTCCTCTCCTAAATATTTAGTGGTTACACCTTGATCATATTGCGAGTTTTTTTCTTATTGAATCAAAGCGAATAGTGTCAACCCAAACCGGGAAAACTACATGTGAGATAGCTCCCTGCACATAACCAAGGGATCCTACCTATACAAACTGGATTTTTACTTGGGCAAATAGTCACCTTAAAATAAAGATCACTTTCACTGGAGATTATTTTAATTATCTTTAAAGTATCAGGTGAACAAAAAATTTAGTTTCTTTTCAATGAATACCACATATTTAAAAACCAGGGTAGGGTCTAGGACAGGGTGGCATTGAGAAATTTTTAAATTTTGCTTATATTTGAATATGGTGACTAATGAAAACTACTTACATGGAAATAGAAGTTTTCTCTTCCTCTGATTATTTCTTGCATACTTCTAAGTCATAATATCGTGTACTGTGTATTAGATTCACTTTCAAAATAAATAGTAGCGGTCAGTGAGGGAATACAGCCTTGCTCTTCCTAGAGGCAGGTCAAGGGGCTGTTTACTTGAAGCATCTTGTTTTGAAATGTGCACATAAAATGTTAGTCTAAGCCTCTTAAAGGAAGCTTTTGCAGATGCAGTTAAACATAAATATACATGCTACATACGTGGAGAACTCTAATTTTCACTTATAGGCCTGCACGTGTATTTCCAAAGAACTGGTTTGAAGAACAAACATGAGGAACAAAAAGGAGGGGGGACAAAGTAAAGCGAAAACACAAAACAAAAGAAATCCTATATATAAGTCCTATATATAAAATACTTAAGTTTTCTCAAGCCATTAGCAGCCCCTAAATTAAATATATCATCAGATCATCACCAATCACTGAAAGAAATTTCTAAAACTTCCCAATGGTGCAGAAAAAACAGCTTAGTGGTAACTCTCTCAGAAATTAATATGAAGAAGGGCAACAAATCTTCAAGAGTACCAAGATTAATGATTCACAAGGAAATCTTGTTTAAGAGCTCTTTAATGAATTTTGAACATAAAGTCTCTTTTTTGTGCCACTGACTGCTCACCCAAAAGAAGATAATAAGCCTCATCCAGAAAACAGAAACAAAAATTTGAAACACAAAAAGAAAACAAAACTCACCACTGCTACTTTTGTAGCACAAAATAGAAAGAAAACAGTCTCAAAACTCTGAAATCCTTACCCAAACCACAAACCAAGATCACAAGGGCAGGTCAACTGAACAGTCCTCCTGCCAGCACCCTCTAAGCAGGCAGAAGCTGTCAAAGCCGTCAGGAGGTGTGGGCCCCCCAGAGAAAGGAAGGCCCTCTGATAGCTCTAAATTCTAACGTTCAAACTCCCAAATCCTGGAGTCCGTTCAATGCCACTGACAACCACTAGTTTTAGCTACTGTCATTTTATTCAAATGGATACCATTTGACTTGATTAGGTAAGTAATGAGCAATATGTTCGGATAGAAATGAAACTCAATTCCTATTTGCTTAGGTACATGTCCTGAGAACAAAAAGCTATTAATGAAGACAGTATTTTGAGACAGTCTTGAAATGAAGTTGTAAGAACTAAACAATTTAAAATGTATCATTCAAATTTTGGGGAGCAAATGGCTCCGGGCAAAAGAGAGGACAACAAGCCAAGAAAAGAATATCTGGAAGATCAATTTTAAGGCCACGGCAATGGGTAAGCTACCAGGAAGTTTGCTATGAATGAAGGATACCAAAGACGGCACTCTCCCACCAGCCTTACGTAGTGAATACTGTTTAAAGAAATATTTTCTCAAAGTACCAATGGAGGGAAGTGAAAATGGATATAAAAATGCTGCCTAAAGGAGAAATGGGGTTGATGGCATAAGAAAAGGAAGTGGACAGTCATCTTAGAGGGTTTTTGCAGTTTTTAAATAAATTAAAATAGTTCCTTCCAAGAGAGGCAAGACTACTACCATGGATTATATGCATTTTGAAGAGAGGGCAAGTGGCAGTTGTGAAGACACTAACATATTGTGTCAACTGCACTCAGATCTGAGTGTGAGACCAAGTCAGTCATAATATGCACAGGAGCTGTCCGAAGTGACAACTATACTTGCGGGGGGGGTAGAATGTCCTACCGTTCACAGATGTGATCATAAACATATGGTTCTCTCCAATAACACCTCTTTAAATCGGGAAGCAATTATCTGGGAGGAAAGTATGTGACCAGATTTTCCGTAATTCTCTAAACACAGAAAAGTATACAAACTTCACATTTAAAGCCTTCATGTTCAATATCGATGAATTAGTTTTAAATACAATCTCAGCTTCAAAAATCAAAGCATCACAACTCTATAGGTAATAAACTCTTCAAGTTTTCTGGCAGATGAGAGATTAAGAAAATAAACCATAAAGGTTAAATAAAAGACTGATGATGACAGACACAGAAAGCCTGCTCAGATACTAATGAGACTAGATCAGGCTGGCAAACATCACCATTAGACAATGAAAACAAATACAAATTCAGGGGGCCAGTATGTGGTGTTATGGTTATGTTGCTGGACCCCCACATGGCTGACTGTGGTTCAAGACGCGGACCTGGAAGCTTGAAAATCACACTGGGTGTGTACATGCATGTACCCAAAGGGACAGAGGAGAATGAAAGAGAAGGGATTGCAGCATGGCCATGCCCCTATGGGATCGTTCCTTACTTTCTCTCTCAGTGTCTCTCTCTCTCTCTCTCTCTCTTTCTGGTGAGAGCATGTACCCTCCAGCAAAAACCTTAAGAAAAAAAAAAAAAAGGAAATACAAATACAAATTCAGTTTAAGTTTTAATCCTTTCATTTGTGATTATGGTATGTTCTCAATTTTATTTTGTGATGTTTTTTTCCCCCATACTATTTAGCCAATTTTGATAGGTTTTGGTTTACCTGATGTCAACAGTGGGAGGATGGGAGCATGACAGCCAAACAAGCAGGTGACTTTCTACTGTAATATAAGATTGTCAGAAATAAGAAGCTACCTGAACAATACAGAATGGCGCACACAGGCTTGGGCTTTCACCACCCACTGAGCGTCGTCTGCCTTCGAGTCTCTGAATTTTAGTATTATAGTGGCAGTCATTGTCTGCCACGTCCTGGCAACGACATTTCATATTTAGGGACTTCAGGAGGATGATTTGTTCTTTGTGCCACAAGAAAAACAAAGTAAAGTAAATCTTAGGAACAAATTCTTCACCTTTTCAAAAAGGGTGTCTATGATCTCGATGCCCCACCCAGAGTTTTTTAAATATTGTTTTCTAATTTCTCCCATTTAGTCCATCCTCTGGCTTCAGCATCAAGGCTCGATATACTTAAAAACAAAAAACAAGCAAATTACACTGAGTAAAGCAAATTCACGTGTTAGTGCAAGGAGTCAGTTCACAAAGTTTTATATATATCCCATTCCAAAAAGGTGAAATTCATATAAAACTCTTTAACAAAGCCTTTTGGTCTTTGAAGGAGAGAAGTATGGTATAAAGTGTGACAATCACCAATAATAAGAAACTTTCCAATCTTCCCTTTAAAATAACAAATTAGCTGAATATATACACTTGTAATGTGAGCTGGTAAAAGTTTCTCAGTTATCACAGTTCAAAAACACTTTGAAAAATCTTTTTGTCCTTTTCTTTTACTTAAAAGGCAAGTTCTATTTTGAGATTTTTAAATGTGTTTAAACTTGCAACTAACTGGGTTTTTCCTTTTTACATTGATCAGCTTTTAGTGTCGATGTACAAGACCCCAAAGATGGTTGACATAATAACTTACGCATGTTGAGAGAATGACCAAAAGGACCCCCCTAAAAAACCCAGCTGGGATACAGTAGACATTACTTTGAGTGTCTCATGTATGTTTCTGGAAGGGGGGGGGAAAAAAAAAAGGAAAGCCACTGAGAGTTGTTATTCCATATGGCACTGAAACAAACATTCAACTTAGTTTAGGTAAGAGTTACTTATCCCTGAAAATAAAGGCATCAGATTCTAAGCAGCTTTAGGAATTCAATTTCCTTGTGCCTCTTCCAGGAGGTGGCCACCGATCCAAAGTCCTAAATCGAGTTTGAGTGTTTTCAGAAAATGACTTCCTTAGTTGTCATTGATGAAGGCTGAACATGGTGGCTGTTACTGTGGGGGTGGTTGCTCCGGAGGCCCCTCCTGCTGGGGCGGAGCTGGCCGTGGCCCTGGAGGTCTGGGTACCGGCATGTCTTGATGCTGCCTCTGCCTGTAAGCTATCACTGTTCCCAAGAGCAACGCAATGATAGTCATGAGGTAAAGGTCCCACTCTGGTCCCACGAGCTGGTCCATATCAAGCTGGGTGAACATATCTCGAATCTTAATAAAAATAAAAGAAAATCATTATCATCATTAAATGTCTGGGAAGAAACAGGGAAATAATAAATACCAAACTTAAAATAATTTAGTTTAGGGACATTTTGTCATGTGTGTGTATATGTATTTGTGTTTTACATTTATTTTTCAAGAAATATTTTTGCTACAGGGTGTGTACACTTGCTGGAGAGACAGAGACAGACAGAATGCAATAAATCATTCCCCTCCCCCCCCCAGGGAGGATGGCCATCCTGCAATCCCTTCTCCTCCATTCTCCTCTTGGGATTTTAGGCACACACGCACATGTGCCTGGCAAAAATTTTAAGCTGAGGGAGTCCAGGACTAAACCGCAGTTGACCACATAGGAGTCTGGCAACATAACCATTATGTCATTTGCTGGTCTCTATTTAAAATTTTTTAAAAAGATTTATTTATTTATGTAATTAAATCCATTTGTTACTATTAATTTTTAATTTGACCTGAGAGACAGAGAAAGGAAAAGCAAGAAAGCAAGCTGCCGACCAGGTCCAGGACTAGAACCACTGTCGGCCATGTGGGAATCCAGCTCCTTCAACCATTGTGCCACCTGCCAGCCCCTTAAATTTTGTTTTTAAAAGAATTATTTAACTTTATTTATTATTATTCTTCAATTTTGACAGAAAAAGAAAGAGGGAGAGAGAGTGTGTGTGCATGCACACACGCGCCACCAGATCTGGAACCTGAACACTTGAACTGTGGTCAGCCATGTGGGAGTCCAGTGCGTTAACCACCATGACACCTGCTGCCCCCCCTCCCGCCCCCATTTAAAATTTTAAAAGCCTTAAACTGAAGCTCAAAATTGTGAGTCTCAGGCATTGAGCTAGTATTTTATAACAACAGAATTTATACAACATTTAATAGGGGTCTTTTCACCAGTAATCTCCTGCACCAATTTTCAACCATTTTTCACAGAAAATATTTAAAGAAACACTGGGACAATGGAGGGACAGGAGGAGAAACGTAGCATCTCGGCACATCTGTAAGCTATTTGTCTGGAGGGCACACCAGCTGAAAATCCTTGTTCTAATGACAGGCCATTTCACTACTTCTCATAAAACTGAAGACCGCAGGAATTAAAAATGTTTAATAGTTAAATGAATAATGCTTTTTAGTAAGGATTTAATGACAATGCCAACAGAGGTATCCAAAAAGTTCGTAGAAAACAGGGGCCAGCATGGTGGTTAAAGTGCTGGACTCCCACATAATTGACCGCAGTCGAAGTCCCCGACCCAGCAACTTGAAATTCATGCTGTGCCCAAAATCTTGAGGGGAGAATGGAAGAGATGGGATTGCAGCATGAACATCCCCCGAGGGGTGATTTTTCATTTTCTGTCTCTTCAGCAGGCGCACACGCCCCAAAGCAAAAATCTCTCAAAAGAAAATGTGTATTAAGAGGACACTATGCAGACTTAAAAATTTTTTACACCAAATTAATAGTTTAATTCAATTTTCCATGAACTTTCTGAAGACCTCACATATTTACAAATATAGCTAATGAATTTTTCTCTTTCTGCAAAACAAACAAACAAACAAACAAAAAACTGACAAGAAACTACTAACTGCACTGCCTGGGGAGGAACCCAAGATGGGAGATTTCTGTGCTCCTCTGTACTGACTTTCTTAACAACATTCATTATTCTTGGACTTTTTTTCCTTTTAATTGTACAGTAGTATTAGAAAGCATTTTATTGTCTGCTTTATACTTCTGTATTAAAAAATGGCCAAAATACATACTCAGTACAACACACTGTAAGGTCAAATCCTAGACCATAACAGTGTATTAGTGATGAAAGCCATCGGAGACAAGGTCTGACATAGTCTTGAGAAACAGAAGGCTGCCACGCTATGAACTTTTCAATGAAAGACAGAGGTGGTTTTGATTGACAGGGATGGCACAGCCGGTTCCCCCTACCATGCAAGTACAGCACTCGGTATTACACGTGTATGAAGCAAACAGGAAGACAGAGTCCCCACACCCGGTTCTCTGCAACCCTCAGCAGCATGGGCTCGGGTGGCAAAGGGAGAAATCCATTCCTGACTTTCATGCTGAAATCACGTAACGACCTATTCTGAGAGACATTAACATTTCAGGGCTTTCAGAGTTTAATGCAACACTAGTTAATTCATTATTAGGAACAATCAGTGCTGGAAACAAAATGTAAAACCAGCAGAACCGAAAGCACCCACGTGGAGGTATTGTGAGCACTGCTAACTAAAGGTAGTTTTGAAGAGAATGAGTAAGCCATCTCCATCTAAGTTCTACCATTAGCCTATCTGAATAATTCAAGCTATTTTCAGAGAAAAAAAAATCTGCTGGAGGTTTTAACTTAAGGTTTACTACCAGAAGAATCAGAACAACAACAGCCTGGGCAGATTCTTAGGTTTTTTCCTTCCCCCTTTTAAAGGAACTGGCTTGAGTCATTGCCCCATAGTCATCTGACTTGATGTTTATTGAAATGAGTTCATTTCTATTTCAGAATTCAATTCACTATTATTTCAAATGGCTGTAAGTTAGTCACAGTTTCTCTTAAACAAGAAACCAAGGACATCCATGAAAGATACATTAGCATTAGGAATGACTGTCAAATCTACACAAAAGACTGGGTAAGTGCTTTTTGCCTACATATTCATTCCTCACCTGATGAGGATCTTGGCACTCACCTGTGAGGAAGGAGGGAAGGGACCTGTCTCAGGTACCTCTCCCTCTGCCCCATCACCCACCCTCAACTTTTAAGTATAAACCTCCAAGATCAAGATGGTCACATGATCTCTATCTTAGCGGAAAGAGGCACAGATCACTCACATTTGTTTCCCGAATATACTGCAAGAAATAGACGATGCCCAGTTTGCAGAGTGCTAGGAAGACTGGTACTTGTGCATCTGGGCTGGCTTCGGCTGCCATGTCATAAAACCGTTTAGCAAGGTGAATATCCTAAAATACAAGTAAAAAGACAAAATTGATTTCTTGCAAAAATACTTAGCTTATATACTAGGAAAATTTATTTTATCTTTCAAGTTTTCACTTTTAAATGAATTTCCCTCACATGAAGAAAAAAAAAACAAGCCTTACTTGGGTAAAATTTCTTAATTACCTGATTAATTTTTAAAAATAATTATTTATTATCATTATTTTTTCAATTTTGACACACATGCGAGAGAGAGACAGACAGACAGCAAACTGCCAAGTCCAGGACTCAAACAGCGGTCGCCCACGTTGGGGTCCAGCATCTTTACCCACCGTACCACCTGCCGGCCCCCTGATTAATTGATCTAAAATTCAGAAAACTGATTTCCCCCAATGTGTAAATGTGCTAGACACAACAACATACCAATGCATAACACTGTTAACCTGGAGATTCCCACAGGCATCCTCTAAGTTTCAAGATTATCGTTTTTTTTCTTAAAACTAAAGTCAATGTAAGTAACTTCTGGTTTCAGTTTGGAGCTGCGATCTTCAAACTATGGCAGACAGGCTGAAGGTCTTCCAAGAGGTACTTGCATGGGACAGTGCTCAGGGACTATTTTGCAGATGCACTGCCTTGGTGTGTAAAAATCTCAGCACTGCCAAAGAGATAACTTCAAATATTGGTTTCTGAAGACAGCTCTTTTACTGACTAAGTATAATCCCTTAGGAGGGTACCTTGTGTTTCTCTGCCTTGGACATAATTCTGTAAAGGGTGGAATAAGTCATTATAAATTATGGCCCAGGTTGGACTGTTCTGAATCAGATATCTGGTAGAATAGAATAGTGGGAGGTTTGATTATTTTCCCTTAAAAATCTCATTTCTTCCATCTCCAGACTATTCTCAAAGAATACCAAATTCTTATAAAAACTTCATGACATGGGAACCAGCAGTTAGTGTAATGGCTATGTTGCTAGACTCCCACGTAGCTGACTGCGGTTCGCGTCCTGGACCTGGTGGCTTAAAACTCACGCTGGGCACGTGTGCATGCGTGCCCAAGATCCCGAGAGGAGAATGGAGGAGAAGGGATTACGGCGTGACCATCCCCCTTGGGGGGTGATTTCTCGCTTTCTGTCTCTATGTCTCTGTCTGTCTTTCTGATGACCGCATGTGCCCTAGTGAAAACCTCTCAAAAAAAAAAAGAAAGAAAAAAAAGAAAAGAAAACTCCATGACACAAGGGAAAGAAAGGCTAAATACAAGGTTGAATTTTTCTCACATATTTAAATATAAGCTATTCTTTATTCTTGTTCCTAGGGTGTGCCATTATTTAATGAGAAGCACATGTTCCAATAATGGTATTAGTATGCTTTGTACACTTAATTAAAAAAAATACAATTAAAATTTTAAAAATGTTTTAAAAAAATTATTAAGACTATGAATGAAATATTATGTGATAGGGGCCTGCAGGTGGCATGGGGGTTAAGGGCACTGGACTCCCACATGGTTGACTGCAGTTCAAGTCCTAGATCTGGTGGCTTGCTTTCTTGCTTTCTCACTTTCTCTTTTTCTTCCCCCTCTCTCTCTCTCTCTCTCTCAGTCCCTCTCTGGTCAAATTAAAATAAATTAAAAATAAAGTTAAATAAAATAATTCTTTAAAAAAACCTTTATGTGGTAATATAAGACTCTGGATGATTCACTGGGGTAATTAAGTAGATTCAATAAGGTAATTAAAACTTATCATCATGAGCAACCAGGTGGCATGGTGATTAAGGTGCTAGACTCTCACATGACCAACTGTGGTTCAAGTCCTGGACCTAGAGGCTTGCTTTCACTTTCTTTCTCTTGCTCATGAGCACAAGTGCCAATAGCAAATTAAAACAAAAACAAAAAATTTAAATAATTCTTTAAAAAAAAGCTTATCATCATGTCCTAAATTTTTTCCAATTATAGACAATTTCCATCTAATTTAATACTTAATATTACTTGAGCTGTGCTAGATGTTGGACTGATTAGTTTCTAGCAGTATGTCTCTTATATTTTAAAAAATAGGAAAAAATTATTATCTTATTAAAACTAGTGGAGTTATTCTGATTTTTATACCTGATTATGTACCTATTCTTTAAAGTGGAATCTGAATTTCCAAATCTCCCTACTCATTATCAGAAAATAATTTGCATTTTACATATTCCTTATTCACGTTAGTTTCAAATTTTTTTAGTTTGTTATAGGGCGTGTGTACTTAGCTTAGAGAGAGAGAGAGAGAAAGAAGGAGAGAGAGATCACTCTCCAGAGGAGGATGGCCATGCCACAATCCCTTCTAATCTATTCTTGTCTTGGGATTTGGGGCATGTATGCACACATGTCTAGGGTAATTTTCAAACCTCTGGTTCCGAGATTCGAACTGTGCAGTTGGCCATGTGGGATCTAACTGCCTTACCCTCCACGTCACCTGCTGGCCCTATTCACCTCAACTTTTACTGTTAGCTAATTTGTAATATATTATTAATATATTACATTACACATTAAATTGTAGAAAATATACTTTTGTTTTGTTTTATAACCTATTATTAAGAACAGATTAGTTACGCCATATTAATAGAGTGCTTTCAGTACCTTGGATGTATCCCATAAGTGCTATATCTTATTTTTGAGCTTTATATAAGTCATCAAACACACACTAAGCTTTATCTGATTGAAACATGAAGTTAGGGTTTCTGATAGAAACAAAGTCTGATGGGTTGACAGGCCTGACAACAAAGAGAGGTTTCAGTTACCATGTTACATGGCAGACACCTTTCAGCAACTGAATGCCTTAAGTCTCTAGCTCCAAAGTTTTGATAAAACTATATTTAAATATCTAATGTTGACAGTTAATATTATAAATATTAAACTAAGTTTAATATATAAAATTTACATATTTAAATAAACATAAAATCTGATCAAAGACACACTGTGTCAAACAACTGTACATTAACCAAGTGAAATTAACAATTTTTCTCAATCTTTAAGTATGTTAGATCAATAGTGTTTAAGATTTACTTTCATTGTTTTAAAATTTGCTATAGGTATGTGTACCCACATGGGTACACATGAGGGAGAAAGGAGGAGGAAGTGGGGAGGAAGAAAATGAGAAAGCAAGTCACTAGGTCCAGGACTTGAACTGTGGTCAGCCATGTGGGAATGTCCAGCACCTTAACTGCCATGCCATCTACTGACCCCCCAAAAAATGTTTCTAAGAGACCAAGTAAGGGATATAATTAATAGCCATTTCTTAAGTCTTGGGAAGGGTTTTTTGGTACCCTCCCCAGAAAATGAAAACATGAATGGCTTCAGTGATTGGGGAACACATCCTTTTTCAATCTCTGGTTCTCAAGTCTTTGTTTTAACACAAGTGAAAGTGGACATAATCAAACTGTCAAAGCTAGATCATTAAAAATATGGGACTAGGGCCAGCAGGTGGCGTGGTGACTGGGTTCCCATTTGGTAGACCACAGCTTGGGTCCTGGACCTGGCAGCTTGAAATGCACGCTGGTACATGTGTGTGCAACCAAAATCCAGAGAAGAGAACGGAGAAAGGACTGTGGTGTAGCCATACCCCCTGGGGGGTGATTTCTCACTTTCTGTCTCTGGTTCCAGTGAGCACATGTGCCCTATAGCAAAAATCTCTAAAAAGAAAGAAGAATAAAGTATTAAAAAAAAAATGCAGGGTTTAAAAATGTGGGACTTTCAGTGGAAATGTTAAGGTATTCCAGTATTACAGAAAAAAATGAGATTTCTTAAAAATTAAAAATAGAACTTCTATATGATCCAATAATCTCACTACTAGTTACAGATTCAAAGGAAAGGAAATCAGTGTATCACAGATACCTGCTCCACAATGCTTACTGCAGCACTGTTCCCAACAGGCAAGCTCTGGAAGCACCCAAAGTGCCCATCAACAAATGGATACAGAAAACGTGGCATGTATATACACTGGAATACTATTCAGCCATTAAAGGACAAAATCCTATAATTTACTGTCAAATGGTGAGTCTAGAAGACACTACATTAAGTGGAAGAGGCCAGGCATGGGGCCAGCAGGTGGCATAGTGGTTATGGTGCTGAACTCCCACCTGGCCAACCATAGTTTGAATCCCGAACCTAGTGGCTTGCTTTCTCACTTTCCCTCTCTTTCTCTCTGGTCAAATATAAATAATAATAATAATAATAATAATTAAAAAATAAAATAATTATTTAAAAAAAGAAAAAAAAATGAAATCAGCCAGGCACAAAATAGAAATACCACATGCTCTTCATATGTAGAAATTACAAAAATGGCTTCAGAGAGGTAGAGGGATGAAGAATGACTGCTAAAGGCTAGGAAGGATGAAAGGGAAGAAAAAGGGATATTAAAATGGAAATAAAGCTGCAGACAGACACAGAGAACAAAGTCTGTTGTTATAAGATGCAGTGAGAAGAACATAGATGACAACGACTTCCTACGTAGCTCACAGAAGTAATGACAAATGGTCAACCTGATTATGCTAATTATCCTAAGTGAATCATCACACATTCTAATCCTGGAAAGTAATACTATACCCTCATAATTAAGTACATTGTTATTAAAAATACATTAAAAAATACAAAAAACATTTTTAATGGCAGATCACTCTGATTTTTGGTATTTAACTCTAAATAATTTGTTACCCTGCTATAACAAAAATTTTCCCATTCCTACACATTTATTTATGGGAATAGAATATAGTTCTATTCATACATTTATAAAAATAAAAAGAGTAATGCTAAGTCCACTTGATACATAAATTTAATTTGAAAAAAATGCCCCATTCAAAGACCAGCAGTTGGCATAACGGCTATGTTGCTGGACTCCCACGTAGTCAACTGCTATTAGAATCCCAGACTTGGTGGCTTACACTCACGCTGGGCATGTGTGCATGTGTACCTAAGATCCTGAAAGGGGAATGGAGGAGAAGGGATTGCGGTGTGGCCATCACCCCCAGGGGGGGTGATTTCTTGCTTTCTGCCTCTGTTTTTCTGATGAGCACATGTGCCCTAGAGTAAAAACTTCCCAAAAAAACCCACTTTCTTTAATTCATTTTGAAATAATTTAGAAACAATGGCAGGCATTTTTGATTGAGGATGCAGCAATGCATTTGTTTTCACGAATCTGTCTTCAGGTTAACACCCTATATGTAACAGTGTGGTTATTAATGTGTATGTGTGGGAAGATGAGAGAGATGCAAGGGCATTCTTCTGAAATATTACAAATCAGTCTCATCACTTAATGGCCTGAAATCTAACTGAATTCCAAAGACAGACTTTTTTTTTTTTTTAAGAGAAATTTTTGCTATAGGGCACCTGTGTTTGCCAGAGAGAAAGCGTGAAATCACCCCCCAGGGAGATGGCCACACGGCAATCCCTTCTCCTCTATTCTCCTCTAGGGATTTTGGGCACACGTGCACGTGCCTGGCATGAGTTTTAAGCTGCCAGGTCCAGGACTTGAACCACAGATGACCACATGGGAGTCCAGCATTGTAACAATTATGCCATCTGCTTGTCCTAGAAAACCTGTTTTATAATATACAATCATGACATTACTCAAACATTTGAAACCACACTCACCTGTTTAATGCCTAGTCCTTTCTCATGCATGTATCCCAGATTAAACATGGCCTGTGCACTGTGCTGTTGCTCAGAAGCGAGACGGTAATGAATGAATGCAGTCTCGTAATCTACATCAGTGCCAAATCCATAGAAGTGGTAGTCTCCAAGCTTAATTCTAGCCACTGTATAGCCTTAAACAAATCAAATGCAAAACCGCCAATAAACAAAATGTGTTTAAAGCAGATCAAACTGTTCTTTCTTCTCCTGTTAACATGCCTATATAAAAGAAAGATTTTTAGGGCTGGCCTGCAGTGCAGTGGTTAAGTGCTATGCAGAGGAAGCCACATCCCACATAGCCAAACACGGTTTAACTCTCAGTACGGAGACCGGGGGGAAAAAAAAGTACTCTACAAGCCAGCCGATGGTGTGGTGGTTGAGGCAGTTGGATTTCACATGGCCAGCTGCACAGTTTGAGTCTTGGACCCAGCAGCTTAAGAAACACACCAGGCATGTATATGTACATGCCCCAAATCCCGAAAAAAAAAAAAGGAGGGATTGTGGTATGGCCACCCCTCGTAGGGGGTGATTTCTCTCTCTCTCTCTGTCTTTCTACAGTGAGTGTGGGCACCCTATACCAAAAAACCTAAAAATCTAAACTAAACTAAGTAAAATAAAATATGACTTCCTTCTGTTTGGCACCCAGCAGCAGTCAACTTTTCCAACCAAGGTCTGGCATTTCTAAACACAACACACTACAGTGGCCTCAAACTAGAAATAAAAAAATGACCCATACCAACATGGAACTGTCTAGTACAGAGAGTTTTGAAATTCAATGTAAAAACTCTGGTATTTGAACCATAGTTGTAATGTATAATAATCATGATGCAAACAAGTTAAGCAATGAAAGCGAGAAATCACCCCCCAGGGGGGATGGTCACGCCGCAATCCCTTCTCCTCCATTCTCCTCTCGGGATCTTGGGCACGCACGCACACGCACCCGGCGTGAGTTTTAAGCCACCGGGTCCGGGACACGAACCGCGGTCGACTACGTGGGAATCCAGCGACATAGCCATTACGCTAACTGCTGGTTCCCCTCTAGTACAGAGAGTTTTGAAATTCAATGTAAAAACTCTGGTATTTGAACCATAGTTGTAATGTATAATAATCATGATGCAAACAAGTTAAGCAATCTCTCTTTAATTAAGTATATCTACTTAATTTTAAGGTGAATGATTTAATATTCATGAGAGATTAAAAATACATATACACAGTAACTCTTATCCTAGGATTAAAAACTCACCCTGAGATGCAGCCCTGTTCCAATGTAGCAAAGCTCTGGGATAAGTTTCATTTTCACCTACAATAGTTGCTTCTCCTACAAGAAAAGAAAACACAAATCAGGTACTTAAGGAAAGGCTTTCAGGCTTCACTTGCAAACTGGGGTGGATATGTGGAGCATATGTTAATGAACTGGAATATAAAAATATTAAGCAAGAATTGAAATAAACAAGCATTAAAACAAAATAGTGAATTCAAAGCAATCACTGGATTCTGATGACACTACTTCCTGAAACATGTTTCAGCCACGGCATCAATAAAGACACTAATGGGAACCAGCAGTTAGTGTAATGGCTATGTCGCTGGACTCCCATGTAGTCGACCGCGGTTCGTGTCCCGGACCCGGTGGCTTAAAACTCACGCCGGG